AGATGCTTGTTACATAGTTTTTGACAACTTCATTATGCGCTTTTTCGTCTTAATGGGTATAATTATTTAGAGCATTGAAAATGAGTGAAAAATAATGAATTCTAATAAAACCAAATATAACAACAAAAAATCAACTCGAAGTCGATCGAAATAATATTTTACTTTACCCACACAATTTTGGCAACAGTTCTACACTCAACCAGCAGCTGGATTTTATTTATATATTTAGAAATGAGTGAGATTTTCGTACTAATGGTTTGCACATCTTACATGAAAGGTATACTTCTAATTTAGTAATTACAAATGGCAGCTGTCATCAATTTTCAGTCAGTCAGTTTCATATATTTACATTTGGTAATTTCTATGTTTTGTTAGTTGTATGAATTGTTTGGCGAACACTTTAATCATCTGAATTAATAACATTTAAATTGCATGCTTAACGAGAATAAGTCAATAGGTTTTTAGCGTTTAGCTGGCAAACAGTTCAACACCAGGGTAAACAATTTGAACAAACTTTCTAGCGACGAACTAAGATTAAATTATTCATTCATTCATAACACCAAACTAAATTAGCAACTTTGTGTTACAAAACTTTACTTCAGCCAGAAATGAGCAATGAGCAATGAGCAATGGTTAACAAATTCAAGCGTACAAAATAACAATGTATATACAAAAAAGATGCCTTCACAGTTAAAGAAATCATAGAAAATTTGTAAGCATGGAATAAGCTTTTCGTATAATCCGATTAGTTGTAATCCAATTATAATAAATGCAAAACAATCGATTTGAAATTTCAATGATAGTCATTTCTCGTTTCGACCTCTTAGATATGGGATTTATGGGAATTAAGCATGCTTGATAAGCAAAAACTATGCAATTAATCAACATCATCATTAGTTATGACCATGCAAGTTGCCAAACGAAGTTCACAATGGATATCCGGTTGGGGCAAGTTCATAATAATGCGACTGCAGCCACTGTCTGGGGGTGTTTTAGGTGGCCTGGAGTGGAATGGTCCCAATTAAAGCGCTCAACTACTAACTAAGCCAAATTGTACGCTCAAGTGCCAAAAAGCCATAAAGTAATCAAAGTTGATATCAAAGCACCAAACTGCTAACTTATGCTCTCATGTATTCAATTAGGACAGATTTCGAATGGGGGGTCTATGTCTGTCCTCGTTCATTTTGAAAGAATTAAGCACTTTTGCGGAGCACAGCTGTTAAGAAATTACCGCAGCACCCAGTTCCAGTTGAGGCGCCAGCTCCTGGTCTGCAGGTTCGCCTTCAAGAACTTTCAACAACTTCCTATGCCAAAAGTTTCCACAAATTAGTTATGCAAATTATGTGAGTCGCCTCTACCTCAATGGCAGCAGTCAACCGCCAACGACAACAGCAACAACAGCAACAACAACAATAACAACAGATACAAAAACTACAATAGCAACAAGAACAACAGTTTGGAAATCCGTATTTAAAACAATGGCGACTCAGTCTATCTTCCCAACCCGAATGTGGTTCCCACTAAACTCAAAACTCAATCCACAGCCCGATTAGGGCGCATAACAAAGCAGAATTTGTGTAAGTTCCTATTTAACATGCTTTATGCATTCCTCAATTATAAATAGATTAAAGTCCAAAATAGACTAAAGTTAAATGTTAACTTTCCGGCCGAGGCGGACACCATTCACAAAGCAATTAACGCGCCCCAAGGAAGCAACGCCACAGGCTAAGGACATCCACAAAAGGGATGGGGCTCTGGCCCAGAGCTGAACTCAATTTAACTGACTGCCAACTTTCACAATCACTGCCCATCATCAATTTCAGATTTTGCTGTATGTTTTATGTAGCAGCCGAAAGTACGGGACAGCCCCTCAACCAGACGACCATCCTACGACCAGTCACTCCTTCAGTCAGTCATTCGGATAAGAAAAAAAAAGTGAAAACAATGCTTGCAAATGGTTGGCAATGGTTGCCCAGGGATGCGACCGTCGACGAACAATGTATGTGGATCTACGTGTGTGTGTGTGTGTGTGTGTGCGTTTCTTGGTGTGTGTTTACTTAAGCGTAAGCCTCGCACCGTCTCACAGTAAGCTACAAGCCACACAACAATGCCAGCCAGATAAAACGGCGAACGGGGCAAAAAGGGTTTTTACTGTACAGCCCAGCCCCGTCTGCCTGGTTGCGTCTTAAAGGATTGCTCAAGTTTTTGGTAACCAATATGTAAATGTGCGTGCTGTGATTAAGCACAATAGACCTGATCAAACCTTACCAGCCAAGCCACGACAGTCAGCCGGACAAAGAAATTGAGGAGAGAGTGAGACAGTCAGGCAGACAGACAGACAGGACGACAGACAAACAGAGAGACAGCCGAAGAAGGCTTTGCTTAACCCCAAACGTAAAAGTAAACCTAAATCTAAACCTAAACCCAAACCGAAATCTAACCACAATTTGAAGCGCACAAAATGTGAAACCAAAACAAACTGAAAAACGCAGCCAAGTCAATGGCTGGACAAGGCCAAGTTTACACACCTCAAGTGTTTGTTTAGGTTGCCAAAACTCCAACACAGAAAGAGAGGTGGGCCGTACGGATGGTTACGTGTGGTCGGTGGGGGCCTGGTGGGGGGTGGGGGGTGTGGTTGCGTATAGCCTACAATGGGTGTGGCCATTTGCTGTCTTGTTGTTTCTTGGCCAGCGGCAACATAAATCTTGTCTTGGCAAAACAAAGGCCCGCACCACTGTTAGCGATACGCCACCTCGAAAACGTAACTCTAACCCCCAACCGCCGCCAGTAGATGGCACCAAAAACAATACATAGCCCCGCCTGCAGTGGCTGAAACTATTAGCAAAAGAGCCTTTGCCATCGCCAACGTCTTGAAAGATGTGTGCGAATTTTTAAGGGGACACACGCACATAAATTGCAACCGCCAGGTGAGCAATGTTACCACACGTTGAAGGTCGCTCCCCATCCCCATACCCATCCGCATCCTCATGCCATACAATGCTGCTGTTGGCTCGGGTCGCCTTGATGTATCTTTTCTTTTTTTTTTCTTAGGGGTGTAGGTTTTTGTGGAGTCTTGCAAGGTGTGTATGCTTCTTATGGGCATCAGCCGCGTTCCGGCCGTAATAAAAACTAAAATCCGCACAGCAATATGTGCGAGGATAATGCCATTTCCGTTTTATGTGAAATCCTCTCAGTAGTCCGTGTCCACATATCCGCATATCCGTTATCATATCCCCTCGCTCCCACGACACACCGTCAAGGTGTGTGTGTGTGTGTGTGTGTGTGTCTGCTCTGTGCCATGGTTATAGCCTTAGCCGCCACAACAATGAGCTTGCCTCAAGGCTACACAGTGCCGAAAAAGGAGTGCGGTCGCAAAAGTTGTTTGCGTTATGGCACTTTAGCATGCGGACAACTAAATGGATGGGACGCATTTTATGGATTGGCACGAATGTTTCAGAATTAGGCACACGTGAGCCACCATAACATAAACTAGAGTGCATGCAGATAAACAAATTTTGTTCATGTCCATCGTCAATAGAATATAAGATGAGGCCTGCTATGGTGTGCAGATTGCGTAAATAAATCGAAACTAAATCCAGATAAAGGTAAAGAATTACTAATTCTATAAAAGTAAATTATTATTATGCTGGATTCAAATGGTCAACATAACTAATAAAGAAAATTGAATACTGTGCCTTGAATAAAAGTAATTAAGTAATTTAACCAATTTATTTGATATTTGATTTTTCAGCAGAAATAATACCGACTATGGTTTTGAAGTACATAAACAAATAATGCAAATTTTATGCAATAATAATATTATTTTTGATGATACATTTTGAAACTACCACAGCTAAAATAATTTAGTAATTTAGTTAATTAGTAATTAGCAAATGGAAGTAGAAGTAGACACACTGGCTGCTTTCTAGTAAAGGCAACATTTCTATTATCTAAATAATTTAATATTATGTATTTGTAATATTTTCCTTCACACAAATGTGATTAAATTATATGCAACAATATAATTATTTTTAATGATACATTTTGAAACCACCATTAGTAAAGTAAATAGTATATTGATTATGTTGTTCAGTGCCATAATAATAACCATAAGCAAAACTGTGTTTATTCAAATTACAAGTCAAATATAAACAAAGCATTCCATAATGAAAAGCTTGACAGCATTTTATACAAATTATTTACTCAATACTTCAGCTTAAGCTGATGACACTTGACTGATTCAACCCTGCAATCCAAGAGGACAAGAACGTTAAAGGCTTTTGAGTTTTCTCGTGACTTTGATGGTTTTTAGCCTCAGTCTTGGGATTCCAATGGATTAGTTGACAGCTTTTGGCTTGACTGCAAAAGGCCATTCATTAGCCGCAGTTGCAGCTTATGTTGCAATCAACAAAATGCATGCAATGTGGCTAACAGTCCGAGGTGTTGTCCTTAATTATATGCAATGCCATAACCACGAAATGTAAATGCAAATGTGGGCCAGTTTTTGTGCAGTGTGCGAACGGCAAGAAGAAACAAACGTGCTACTTTGGGCAAGGCGCTGCGAGTGGTAAAAAGCGCAACCAACAGAGTACAGAGAGACGGGAGAAATGTAGAAAAAAGAACCGGAACGAAAGAAAAACCATAACTAAATCCATTGCCATAGCCAAATCCAAAGCAAAGTCTGCGATGCAAATAGTAGAGATTATGGTGCTACCGATGCTGCCACCGGTGGTGCTTCCAATGCTGCTGCTTCCACTGTTGCCACTGCTGCTGCAGATGAATAAGAACAAGGCAGCGGTAGTGCTGGTGTCGGATAAGCTCCAAGGCGACGCACAGAAACCATTCGACGTGCAGTGGTAGGTGTTTACTACAACTATGTACGCGAAACTGTATTTCTATATACAAACACACATATACATGTGTGTCTCTGTGTGTGTGTGTGTGTGAATGCGTGGTTATATGTTAGTTTGTCGGGTTGTATGTGGCACAATAAATCTTACAAGGATGCCGAATAGCCGGGGCCAAGGCACGGTGTCGAAGCCATTGGATCTGGGTGTTGGGTTTAAGTCTGGGCCCTGCTCAGCGCCAGTGAAAACCAAAACCAAATAAAACTGACATTATGCGAAAAGCGAAAGCCATAACTAAAAGTTGCGCTAACATGGCATGATGGAGCGGCAGTAAAGTTGATGCCGGGACGCAAAAGGGAACAAATAGCAAAATAGAAATGATAGCACTGAAAGATATCTCTGGATATGCAGGGTATGCGGGGTATGCGGGGTATGCGGGGTATGCGGGTGAACTGGAACGGAAATCGACTTTGGTTCTTACCTGCGTCTGTGTGTGTAGGCGTGTATGTGTAGTAGGTGTGTGTGCGAGTGCTCACGATGAACTCTTGCTGCAAGTTATGCAAATGTCCCGAGTCGCCTCCGATTCAGAGTCAGTTGATGCTGTTTTGTTGCTGCTGTTGCTGCTGTTGCTGTTGCTGTTGCTGCTACTGCTGATGTGGCTATCAATCGAAAGCAGCGACGTTGATGTTGTGGCGTGTGCTAATGACATTTGCTTTGATTGCGAACAGAACTCGAAACTGTCATTTTCACTCTGAGAGGGTTCTTCTTCCGCTTTCTTTCCTTTTTTCTTTTGCTTATTTTATTATTATTGTGCTTGCAATTGTCGATGCCAGTTGTTGGGGTTGCTGTTGTTGTTAATATTGTTGTTGCCGTGTCTGTCTATTTATTTAATTTGCATGCAATTTAAATTTTTTTTTGAATTGACAGCCAACGACACAGTCAGCGACACACTTGGCCCATGCACAATAGAAATTGAATTGCAAAATTTGTTTGCCAGTCAATCGCTGCGAGTCGACGATGGAGTTTGTGCACTTGAAAGGGGCAGGAAAAGGAGCGCCGCCGACAGCAGCAAAGTGCGCCACGTTCATGCCAATGTCACAGTCACATACCCACACACACTCGCTTTCACACATACACACACACACACACACACACCTACAGAGCCTGAAGTAATCGCACAATTTGGCGGCGAAAATGTCAAGTATGCTGAATGCCACGACCGCGTTGAGAACGACGGCGACGACGACGACGATGGCAACGACGACTGTCACTACAATTGGCGGTAGCAACAACAATAATGCCGGCAAACAACTCACACATACACACACACACACACACAAGCACACATAAACTGTGGACTCACACACACACACACTGACTTTTGGGAGTGAGTCGGAGTCGCTTGCAACGAAAATGTCAGCTTACAATTTGAGGCGCGAAATCACGACTCGCCAAACTCGCCACGTTGCCACGTTGCGTTTGACTGATTGATAACGGGAATTGGGAACTGTTTGTGTTGCGCCAATGCGACCGATTGCAACGGCTAACGCTCCGAAACTGAAACACAAACTCAACGCCAAAGCACCAAAAAGGATGCTGAACAAAGCGCACAGATGCGATGCCAAATGCCGACAACGAAGACGATGACGACAACGACGATGATGATGATGCCGATGCCGATGACGATGACGATGACTATGAAAACAAGCCAATGCCGTTGCCGATGCTGTGGCCGAGGCCTGCTATTGCAACACAACATAAGAGAGTGAAGAAAGCGATATAAGAGCGAGAGAGAGAGAGAGAGCGAGTGGCTGAGCACGAGAGCTTGAAAGCTGCTGCTGCTGCTGCTGCTGCTGCTGCTGCTGCTGTGTGGGATGCTGCTGCTCTCTGAGGCTGGGCGCAACAACAGCACCAACAGCAACAACAACAATGTTGGCGACGGCAGCGACTAACGTGTGACTTCGTTAAATTTCTGCGGCGACAGCACACAAAACGGATTCGGAAGCGGAAGTAGCAAGTAAGCGAGCGAGCGAGCGACCGAACGAGCAAACGAACGAGCGAACGAACGAACGATGATGCTACACAGCGTGGAGAGCGGCATCAGTATAACAAAAGGAGTATGGGGGGAGGGGTGAGGAGATATAGCTGCTGCTGCTGCAGATGGATGTAGAAGTAAAAGTAGAAGTAGAAGTAGACATAGAAGTAACGCGTAGTGGCTGCTTTCTAGCAGCAGCATCAACTTTATTTTTTTTTTATTCACATTTGGGCTTATGGGTGGCAACTACTTTGAGGTAAAATAGCTGATTGGTTGGAGGGGGAAGCGAGGGGGAGAGCGAGCTGGTAGCATCAATATTCACATTCGCACTTGTGCGAGTAATTTCTGATTTGCTGCAATCACATTGCCAACAATCTTTACAACAGCAGCAAACGCAACAGCAACAGCAACAACAACAACACACTTACAGCAAATTTTCTAACGGATGTTTAGCAAATCTTTTTGCACCGGATACTAACGGTGTCTTTGGCACAGCCATACACGGCATAGATATATGCCACATACGACGTGTGTGTTTTTAGAGCAGAGGCTTATATCTATATGTGTGTGTGTGTGTATGTGTATGAGTTTGTGTGTGTGTGTGTGTGAGTGTGTGTGTGTATCGATAACTAATAATGGCATTACATTTATGTTGCCTGCCTCCGGCCCCGCCTACACCTGTGCACAAATTGCTGTGCAGTGTGTGTGTTTGTTTGTTTGGCTCGTTAGTCCGTTGGCTTCAGTATCGCACAATATTTCAGTTTTCAGTTTTCATTTCTCTGTTTTCTCAGTCTCCTCACTTAGTAGCAGTTCTATTTGTGTTTCCCTGCATGTGTCTGTGTGTGTGTGTGTGTGTATCCTTTTTTTGTTATTATTGTTTTTTATTTGCAATTGCAGTTGTCCTTTAGCCACACAGACGGCAGCAACTAATTAGAAACACTTGCCAAACGCTGCACTTGTTGTAGTCAACATTTATTCTGCCTCCTTTTTTCTTCTATGTGCAACTCGCAATGTGAGTGTGTGTGTGTAAGGAGTTTGAGTGTGTGAGCTATGGGTTGGTATTGAGGTATTTCCAATTGCTTAGTTGATTTTCATTGACTACCCCCAGGATATGTGGACAGATATTGTAGTTGTTCGCTGTCATTAATTGGCTGTTAGTTGTTGTTGCTGTTGTTTTTGTTGTTCATGTTGCTGTTGTCAGTTCCTTTCACTGACAGCTCCAAACGATCTCACTATGGATAAATAGTGTGCATGCGATAATTTTGCTTTCAGCTAATAGATAAAACTGCATTAAATTTATTCATTTATATTCTAATAGAAAAACAACACAGATTGTGGCCTCTGTGGATTTTCAGCTAATTGATTAAATTATCTAGTTTATCAAATCTATTGTTTTATAGCCGTGAGGTAGAGCTTAGTTTTATGTTTGAAATTATGTCGCTACTTCATTTCCTCGCTTCACTCGCCAACTCATAATCAGTTTCCGCTTTGGCAATCTGAAAGCCATTTGCAGACTCAGCCAGGTCCGGTCTCGGTCGCGGTTGCTCTTGATGGCGCTGTTTATTTCTATGCACAAATATTTAAGTTCTTCAATCAATGATAACTTCCGGTTTTCCAACCGCATATTGCAATTTTTGCCCATTGTACAACAACGTGCTAAACTAGTCGACTGGGCCACGACAAGTGGCAACACACACACACACACACACACACACACACTCACACACAGAAGCAAAAAGAGATTGCCACAGCCACAAGCAGCCACATACACAAACACACATACAAACAGGACATTGAATTTGTTTTGGGTTTTGATTTTTCGATTTAAAATTGTCCGTTTCAATGGCCAGGCCAGCTGGCCTGCTGTTTTCCTGGTCGAGTGGTCGACTGGACGACTGGACGACTGGTTGGTCGACATCTCGGTCTGTTTGCTGGTTGTTCGGTTTTTGGTCTCAAGTTGAGGTGTTGCTATCACATTTATTTCGAAACTGCATTGCCAGCTGCACACGATTTTTCAATTGACATCATCTTTGCAGGGGCAAGCTAACCGAGTTATGCAGGCTACTCAATAAAGTAATTAAGAGTAACAGCTACACCCACATTCACACACACACACACACACACATACCTATATAGCACTTTGTTGATAATGCAATATATAAATTTGAGATTGCAGCCAATAGTTGCTGTGAGAAACTTTTCGAACTCAATTCCATTTCATTCAGCTTATTGATTGAGCTCTGAGTGATGTGAATAATTTTATAAATTGAATGATATCTGATAGATAGAAATGATTATCTTTAATTTTGCGAATGTTATGTCATAATTTAATTTTGTACTTTTCAAGTGGTTGACCACACTGAGAGACGATTGTTGTTGAGCAATTGTGAAATTGTACCTAACAATTAGTTCAAGAATTGCAAACTTAATTGATTGTTGTGTTTCTAAAACAAATTTGATTTAATCTGGAGTTTGAAAGCCTTTTTTTATATTCTGCATGTAAAACAAATTTGATCTGGAAGATAATTTGGTTAGCTTTCCTAATTAACACTTCCGAGCATCCGTATAATTGCCTACCGACCGTATCCATTGAACTAATTATGAACGTGTAAACTAATTAGAAATGTTGATTATTAACTTGCACAAGCTCGACAAAACCAGGTCGGAGTAACCAAATAGCAGATACACTCCCAAAAAATTAAATTTATAATAATCTAAAAAAACCCAAGTAAAAATGTTTCAGTTAAAAGGTTGTGCTTATATATTTAAGAGAATTATTCTAGAATTGAAATTCGTTTAAGTTCTGACTGACTTTTAGCAGTGGACAGTTTTTACCGTTCCCCTAAATGTGATTGAACTTGATTGACTTGAACTTTTACCGTTCATCAATGTTATGACAAATTATTAAGCTATATTTTTCAAATTGAGGAATTCGGTGAAACTACTTTATAAAAAATAAAACCAAAGCAAAAAATTTGAAAAAAGAAAAGAAAACAAGAATGCGCCAGTCGAGTCAGCTCGACTAGGAGATGTATTGTACCCAGCTTTTAATATATATTGTTAATCAATTGCAAAAGTTATCGATAAAATTATATAAGCTTTATATGCATATGGTATAAGGGAACTTATATTGCAAAACACTTGTTAAAAGTCGACTCTGCCGTTGATATGAGTCGACTCTGCCGTTGATATCATGAACATATATACGTTATGTTATCGAGTATGCTT